AACTTCCTGTGTTCCAGTTTGTCCCCACTGTCCCTCATCCTATCACTGGGCACCACTGAAGAGGGTCTGGCCCCACCCTCTTAAGACCCATCCTTCAGATATTTATAAACATAGATAAGATTCCCCTCTCAGCCTTCTCTCCTCCGTGCTAAACAGCCCCAGGTCTCTCAGCCTTTCCTCCACTGTCATCTGTTGTTTTTCCACATTATCTGTTATGAAGATATCAGGTACATAAGATGAGAAAGCATACGATCTCTCATGTTTCTGCAAAACAGAAAAATAATCAAATATGAGTTACGTAGCACAATTTGCTTTTGGTGAGCTATTTAACTCCATGGTGCTAACAATTCTGTTCTGCAGAGCCCCTTCTGAGCCTGCCATTCTTACATCTGAATGATATCAGATGAATAGCAATGGTTCAGATGGCTTCCTTTGTCTTTTTTTACATAGAAGTGTTCTATTTGCTGTGTTTCATGTCATGGTTACTCTCATTTTTTTCATAGAAGAGCTGTAATTAAAACTCAGTGTCAGTGGATGGCGAGCTCGTGCATCGGGTCTTTCAGAGTCAGTGTTTGCAACCTCATCTCTTCGGCTTGCGATTGCTTTTTCCTGCCACTCTGGATGGAAGTGCTGCCACTTCAGATTTCCAGATTACTGTCCCCATCTCCATCTCACCATTTTTACTGTTCAAGTCATTATGCTCCAGAAGGACAGTGGCCAGGAAAAGCCACTGAAATATGTTTATATATAAAAATATATAAAAAAATAAACTTAAACATAAGTTTAAATATAATTTATTTATATATAATATGAGCAGCATATGCAATGCTGCTTCCGCTAGCCCCTCCTCATGTGTGTGATGGAGCAATCACAAGCCAAGCAGATCAGTTCCAACGTGTCTATGTAGGCCAGTCAAGCCATAACCTTACTTAGTTTCTGACATGTCCACTGTGAATGTCCACTAATTTTAAACATCAGACAGCAGCAAATGAAACCAAGGCACGTGTCACTTCATAGGAAGTTGTTACTCATCCGTAATGCTTATGTAAAGTAATAATAGAAAAGAGCCCACTAACTGTACCAAGGACTTTCTGGTGCCTGTATTCCCACATTCAAAGAGGGACTTGCAGACCATGCAGAAAAGCAAATGAAACAAGTTCTTTCAGGATTGAAAAAAAAAAATAAAAAAATCCCCTTTAGTTTCTGAGTGAGTTAAACTGTTAGATGCTCTTTGACTGCAGAGACATGACAGTCCTCAGAGCTGGTTATCCAGACTAACCTGAGCAGAAGCGAACAGTGACCCACACAGCCTACAATGTACTCTGCATTCCCCACTGTACCCTTTGGGCACACAGCACTCTGGGGTCAAAGACCTCACTGGACATGCCAAAGTGACCTGGCACTTTTAATCATGCAGTCACCCTGGGGGGGCGAGCTGCCTGCTACCAGACCTTTTCCTCAACCACATGGCTTTTTAAAAATGAATGCTCTCCATCGCCCTAATCAGTATGCTCATCGATGATCACTTTGTCTCTTTTTAATGTGAGGATATTGCCAACTCTTTTCATCACGACTGAGGTCTCCTGGGACAATCTCCTCCAGCCAATGATGCTTTTCAACTTTCCTACCCCATCTATCAATAGTAAGATCAAAGCTATCCACTTGAAAGAAAATCTTTAGGATTTAATTGGTGTTTCCCTTTTCCTTATATGCCAATGTTCTGGCAAATGCTAAAACTAAACCCCGCGTGCGCTCACCCATGTAGGCATTCAACCCTGGCCACACACTGGTCACAACGTCCCAAATGGCTCATCCGAAAAATATCTCACTACAGATGAGCTGTCACTCACAACAGCCAAGTAAACAACTCGGTTACACCCATTTGTAAAATATAGTGAAGGGAGTACACTGGTTCTGTGGCTATTAACAGACTCCCACTCATCGTAGCCAAACTTCAGTCATTCAGGTCTTGGCACACCAGCACCATGCCTACACTGGTATAAATCAACAGCGTGAAAATCACTGTACTTGTGTGAAAGAGACTTTCAGAAGTGTACCTGTGCCTTAAAGCTTCAGCACACTCTTTGCTACCTATCATGTTCCATTTTTCTGTGGAGCAACACAATTATCATCCTCCAGAAAAGTGTTAAATGTCAGATCCTAGAGGGATCAGCATATCTGTTCCTCCTCTGTGCAAGAGGGAGAAGGTTCTACCTTAAAAAAGGCTGGCAGTTCTTAACTGCTGTAGGAAGCAGAGGCTAGAAGGCCAGCAGTCAGAAATGGTGTTTCCCTTACTGAAAAGTACCGCCTAAGAATTAAACATACAGAACAGGGTGTGGGTCATTCTTGTCTAACAAAACCAGCAGAGTTCAGAAACTCCTACTGAAGATGATTCACAAAGTGTGCATCGTGAGAGCCACATTTCCTATGAAATATGTGAAAATAGCAACAGCTGTTCTTTATAGCTGTGTGTAAATCCATTTTCACTATATTTTACTACATTTTTAAATAAGCCAAAACTTACGTCTTGCTAGGAGAAAACCTTACCTTATGTAATGAATGCTGTTTTAAGAAATGTTTTCAAAGCATTGATTCTGCTACAATCATTATGGTAAAGGCCCATCAACGAAATGGCATTATGCCATTAACCAGGGGAGTGAGAGATATTTACTACCTTTAGCTAGGAGGTGATTTGCAAGGAAAAAGCAAAAGTGCCTCTTTTCTGTTCCATCATGATGATGCAGCTTGCAATAATTGTAATAATAGGCCAAATTTTGTCTGTGCTTTCTCCTGAACATCCGTAGTAAGTCATTCAGTCAGAAAATCTGAGAGGCACAATTTGGCCGCGTATGGTGCTAACATAACATTAAAGAGGTAACATTTCCTACCTTCAGCTTTCACTTTTTTTTTTCCCCAGCTGTTTTTTGCCAGTAGTAGAAAACAAAGTAGTTAAGAAAGCCAGATTACGCCTAAGAATTTGTCAGCCGTACACAGTGCCGAATGCCCTCTGTGAAACACACGGCTCCATTCATTGCAAGTGATGTTGTTTATGTACAAACAGATGCAAGAGCAGGGTGTAGGGCCGGGTGACGGAGGCGCATTGTGTTACTCACGGGGGCTGGCATTTTCAAGAATGCCTAATGATGAATAAGACTCATTTGAAAGAAGCTTTGGGGACTTACCGACATGAAGGAGCAACTGTGCTTCTGGAAAAAAGATTACACACTCTTACTTTCTAACGACTTGGGGAACTGGGAGGTTTCAGCAAATGGCAGGATCAGGCCATTAAATAAACAGGTTTCACAGCACTCACTAGCGAGTGACAGACCCGATGAACCGCCTACACTGCCTACTGGTATGAATGTAGGTGAGACCATGCCCTCTCACCTAGACTGCTGTTCAAACACAGCAACTGATAAGAACAATTAACCTACAATGAGGTCAATGAATGCCCAATACAACCGGAAGAACAGTGACGAGTTAAAGCACTTCCAAAGCAACACTTGCAAAGTACTCTTTGCTGTCATGAACGGTTTGTGGGTCTGAGCTTTAGTTTGTGCCTATACTGCTATAGACTGAGGCAAAGAGAAAAAACCCCAATATTCCAGCAGTACAAAAGCCTGGGTAATGCTGCAAATTAAATCAACCATATGTTTTGAAATTAGTCTTAGAAGAAAGGCTGTGTTCCAGGCAGCCGTCACACACTTGCTATTTGGACTTCTACCTAATACGGTGAAAAAAATAACAAGGATGAATGTCAGGCATGGTTTGTATGACAAGATTTACAGGGCCTGCCTCATATTACCTTTCAAAGAGGCAACAAATAGTCCTTGCTGATCTGCAGTTAATCTTACACGACTGGCTCAGAAACTTACCAACACTAATAATAGACCGTGTGCGCTGCCATCAGTAGGTTCATGCTGAAAGCCACTGAGGACCACAACTTAAAGAAAGCATAAAATAACTTTCACGTTGGATAGACCGCGTCCTCTGGTTCATTAAGCAATGCCTACTAGCAGCTACGAAGGAGGTGACACAACGACAGCACTGGAAGACATTAGACTCGTGGTTACCTGATAGATTACAACCCGGAATTTGTTTTTCCTCAGCATGTCCTCCTGTTTGGCTTTCACCTTGCGCACGCTGGCGCTCTGCCTCTCCACGCGCGCCCGCACCTCCTTCACGGTGGAGCTGACCTTGCGGGTTTTCTCCAGCAGCTTGTTCACCGTGTAGCCCGTGTTGCCGTGAGCCTGAGCCAGCTTCAAAATGTCAATCTGTATGGTCTTGATGGCGTTTTCCATCTCTCTGTGCCTCTCCTCTATCCTCTTCTGGCTCGCCTGCACACTGTCTACGATGTTGGCCACTTTATCCAGGACCGTCACAATCGTGTAGGCCGCATCTTGTTCCTCCTCCTGCCCGCCGAGGCCGGAGAGGCGACTCTGGGGGGCTCTGTCAGCCTCGGGGCTGGTTTCGCGGCGATCCATGGTGCGGGGCTCCGGCCGGGGCGATAGGAGCCGACGTCTCCAGGAGCCTGCCAGAGCGACTCTGGCGCTGCTGCGGGGAGCCGGGGCGACAGCTGGCGCCGGCCATGCTCAGAGGAGGGCGTGAAACCCCGCTCCTGGAGCTTGCTCAAATACTTGTGACTACGAAATATCCACACATGATTGTTTGGATACTTTCGGCAACATGAAACCCCTAAAATTAGGAAGCAATGTCTGGAAAGGAACATACGTTTAAAGGGTCACGCTTCTGTACTGATGAAGTTATTAGTGTTAATCCAGGGAAGTTAAGTAACTTACTGATTAAGCAGGAAAGCAAACTTGCATATTTTTAATGATCTACTTTTGTTTTCATGTTACTGCAGTGCATTTCTGCAAGGGCATTTGAAGAGCTGTCAGGAAAATTAACATGGTTGTTTTTTCCAGCAAAACAGCTTCAGGTATTCAGCCTGCTGCAATTACCACATAGGGTAGCAAATAAACACACTAAACCAGAGGCAATATAGTGAAAATGTTGTATTGTGACATGCTTTTCCAGTCCAAAATGTTGAAACCATTTTTTTTTATTATTGAACAAATTATTAAATCCTACATGCAAAATTTTGAAAGCCTAAACTACATGTTAAAACAGCTGAACACATCCTATTCACACTTTATCTCGGGATCTTTCAAACAACAACTAACAGTCTATTAATATAACTATGACCAGCAGACTAATTTGGATGGACTTCTTTAGCTCTTGAAAATACTCTATACAAGAGCACTAGTAGTTCATTCACTTTTATTATTTTTTTTTATTTTATTTTAATCACAAACACTATACAATCTGTATTGTAGGTGTTAAAACATGTATTTTCTTTAAAAAAGTTTAAGAAGTATTAAAACAGCTTTAACAGTGATAAAGTAGGCTTTATTCCAATTATTTGTGTTCAATTATTCACCACCAGTTTTTACAATATCTAAATCTACTAAGACCTACTTCTTTTGGACCTGTGCCATCTGCTCTACCAGATAACTTCCCAAATAATGAAATTTATAATTTTCCTCTTTAAAAATAAATTGCTGGAATTATTTATGAAGATGGCAGTGCTTAGACCCAGCCCACACGTTTTATAAATATGTTACAACTACACACAGCACACAGCTTCACAGTTCATGCGATAGGCAGTGTCTAAAAAATCAGTTACTAACTTCCAAAAACATTTAAATATCTACGGTATTTAAACACAGTGTTTTCTAGTTTCTCTTAAGAAAAGTAAGCTGTAAACATTTTTACCTTTAGTTCATGCCTTGTTTGCTAGGTAATATGGACTTTTTTGTGGTTTGTTGTTTGTTTGTTTGTTTGTTTAAATCTACAACCACTGGTGGAATAAATCTGTGTTCCCAAAAATATTACATTCCATGGATAAAGCACAATTCTATTATATAACCATGTGATACAGATACAGAAAAGGAACTACTGTATTCAAAAACATAAAAGTAAAGATACTAAAACAGTCCATAGCTGTTAGAGCTGATGCTTTCAGAATACAGACCAACATTGTTACACTAAAAATGTTCAAAAATAAGGCCTCTGAAATAAATATTTCCATTCTTTAAAAAAAGATATAATAAAAATGTACATCACATGGTCAATGTAGGTATAAAAATCACTAAGTTAAACCATTCTGGATGATGTATCTGAAGTAAAATGGCCTAGGTTTTGCTTCTGCCGACGTCCTCTATTGTTTTTGGGACATTTTCTGTTAAAAAAAGAAGAGAGAAAGAAAAAAGAGGACTGATTTTATATATGTTGCAGAAAATTTAGCCTAGAAATAACACATTGACTTAATTTTCTGTACTTAACAATAGCAAGGAGTCTGTGAGCTGTGCTGACTGGGGAGGGTGTTCCTGCTGTTTGAACCAGACTGTCACCTGGGGATGTCTGTGGGACCTCAGGTTACTCAGAAGGGAGTTCTGCTTGAACTTGAGACCAAAACCAGCAAGGTGCTACATCCATCAGCCTTGTTCCAGCAAAACATACCATGCTGAATAATCACACTGGCTTTACTTTATACATATTTGACACTTAAAATCCAGTGGATGGTAAGACTGGATCAATCAGCCTTTTGAAGTGCTGGACCTCCAGGTGCCCTGCTGCTGGTGGCAGCCCGTGAGGCAAAGCCCAGACAGGACTCTCTGTGGGGTGACTCAGGCAACCCCTTTCTTAGGGACGGACACACGGCTAAGAGAGGGTTCACAAAAACCAGCAGCTCTGAAGAGGATGGGACTTAGCCCAGCAGACAGCAGGCAATGCAGGATGGGGCAGTCCTTCTGGGACACAGCATGACAGGCTGTCCTCGAGAGACTGTGAGCTGGGCAATGGTTGCAGGGAGGCTGAGAGAGGAGAGCTGTTGAACCATGGCTTCCATGCCACTGCTTTGGCCAGCAGGGTGTTGAGTAAAAAGGATGACATCAACTGCATGAGCCACATAAGTCTTTCATACGTGCAGGAGGTGTTAGATATGTGTATGTATACCTGGTACTTTAAACTGTACAAGAGAGATGAGCAAGGAGACCTATATTGTTTGTTCATAGGGGTGTCACTGAGTTTGGGAAGCCATGTACTAATGCAGTAACAAATTTTTATGTAACTGGAGCTGGAAAAGTGAAGGATTAGTTGAGGAGAAAAAGATGAAGTGTGGTATGGGTGACCAAGTGTAGGACTTACATACTTACTTCATGCACCTATAGGTAACTAAATCATCCTTAATCTATTCCACAGCCCTAAGTCCTCACTGAGTTCAAGTCCTTGATGAGCAAACTGAATTCCTTATCACCAAAAAGAATCCATAGCTCTCATCTCAGTTTTCATACAAGACAAGAGTCTGAGACAACCCAGAAACTTGAACTCTGTGTTTGAGCAGCTTTACATGTCACAAAATAGGTTCCCATGGAGAGTGCCTGATAACAGGACTAGTTGCACATTAGTTTTCAGGAAGCATGTATGGTGTGAGGTATGACTGTCTCTCTGTTTAGCACCATTCACAGTGGTACCACCACAGGGAACAGCACCTTGTCAACCTCTCTGGTTTCACTGGGCAGAAGCAGGGGGTTATAGCTTCTGTAAGATATCAGCAATGCTTGAATAACTCCAGTGAAGGCCTCACACAGTAGCTGACCTTTTGGATGTCTTTCAAGGCTGATGTATTCTGCTGGGTATATTTGGCTGGGGATTCAAAGTGGTTACTGGTGGTTTATGAATTTCAACAAATGTGTGTTTTGTAATGGGGAAAAAAAAGTGTAGAATGTTACACAGTCCTCCTACTTTAGTCATTTGGCATTTTTTGTGGGGGTATTTTAGGATACATGTTACAGCACATAAAATTTGGGGGTTGAATATTTAAATAGAGAAGAAGTATATCACTACAATGTGTAATTCTTCACTGTTTTTGTTTTCACCTACCTTGTTATGCACATGACAATTGCAACTATAATGGCAATCTGTACAGCTCCAATTATTGCTGCAATAAGGACATGGGTAAGCTTTTGTCTACTTGGGACAACATAAAGAATACTAAAGTCTGTCTTTTCACAGTGCTGTCCAGTATATCCTGATTCACACCTGAAAAAGAAAAGGAATATTTAATGGAATCTGAAATTTGAGAACAGCCCAGTCATTTTGCGTATGAAACAAGGAACCCAAGGGGACCCCAGCTGAGAAATTGCTGGTGAGAAGGTGAAGGTGTGGTAACACTTGTTTTGGAGAATGGTTTGGATTTCTGTGGCAAGAGAAGAGAGAGAGCAGATACGCTCTGCTTTCCTGGATACGGTTACTAGTGAAAGCACACCAGTGTGGTGAAGGCCCTGATTTGGCAAAATAAATATGTAGAGTTGTTATTAAATTGAGGCAACATTTAGGAAGAATAAAGCAACTGTGTGAAACAGGTAAACAAGGCTAAATGAAGCACAAAGAAGTGTGCTCATGAAACACAAGGTGAGCATGCTCATTCAGCTGCAATGTCAATATGGGAGACGAGTGTAAAAGAGAAAAAGGAACTTTGAAAAATGGATGAAAAGAAAGGTCCCTCTTCAAGCTGCAGCCTACAGAAGTGGAATCCTGCAAAGCCTATCGCTCAAGACCAGCATCAAACCCCCTCCTGCCTTGTCAGCAAACCAAAATTTTACAGATGTCAGGTTAGAAACACCAATGGCCCACAACCTGTTTTAAGAGAGAGTTCATGGAAGAATCCATAAAAATTGGTCAGAGTGGGGGAGAAATGGGTGAAGATACAAGAGATATGGTTGCTTTACATGAGAGAAGTGGGAATTAGCTCAATGATAAACTTAGAAAACTGATAAACTTAGAAGAGGCTGCTCCTGATCAGTGACACATGGTCAGGGAACGTGAGATGTGCCAGTGGTAAAGGTGGCAGTGGAAACACTCTGGAGGAATTCACGTCACAGGGTAAAAGACATGGAAGGACAGAAAGGAAAGGCAAGAGCTTTTGCAAGGAAAGGCAAAACACTGAGCTGAAGTCTGTAGGCCACCACTTAGATCCCTGAGCAAGTTCCTTGTACTGCTGTCCTTTAAAACTGACTAATGTGAATGCAACATTAAGGGCAACTGAATCATACAATTGACCTCCAGCTCTACAGCAGAAAGCTGCAGAAGAAAGGCATGCAGGCAGAGAAACAATCTTTTTGTAAACTGTATCAGATAAGCCTGAATGCAACACAAAATCAGTCTCATCCATCCAAAATCTTTGTGCTGAGGTAGAAATTAATTCTGTTTGGAGGAATGAAATAATTACTCCACAGACCTTCCTACAACTGCTAATGCAACTTCTAATCTCCCTTTGTATGCCGGGATAACAGCTGGGGTTTACATGTTTATAATCTTGTGACTCTACTTTTGCCAGCCATGAGCTGCTGTGTAAGGAGTTTTGGTTCAGGTATGAAACAAGCTCCAGTAAGAGTGGAGTGAGGAAAGAAAAGCCCCCACGTAGTGTAAGTAAGCATGGTAAGGGCTAGGAAGTGAACCAAGGGAGACATGTATTAGCACACAAGAAGGAAGAGGACAGGGAACCAGTTGGTAATCTTGCAAAAAGAAACAATAAAGAATAATAAAGACTTCTTGCTAGTGAGGAAGACTGAATTCTTATTGTTTTTTGCTTTTATTTTCATTAAAGAAGGCAACAATGTGAGAATTGCTTTAAAGCAGAGGAGGCAAAACAAAGCAGACAAGGCAAAAGCAATTCAAAGGTGTTTCCTCAGAAACACTGAAGTGACAGGAAATTATTTCTGAGAAATATTGAATGGGGATTCAAAAGTATTGAATTCCTGCAAAGAAGTGCTTGTGTTAGGAACTACACTGGTGGTAAGATTAAGTACTAGGCACTAGTTTAAGCTACTGTAAACTAGTAGAACAGATTTTAAAGCATTCTGCTGCACTAATATATAACAAAATATTCTAGCATTACTATAACAGCAAGATAAATAGAGGTCAGCATGCATTTAGCAAAATATGCTGATCAATCAATTAATTAGGTTAGTGTAAAGAAGTTTAGATTTCTTTGCAAAGGGTTGAACTGTGCCTCCTTTGTGCAGCCTGCCAGAAGGGCAGGGCAGAACTGCACTGCACAAGGGGGGCAGCAGAAGACAGACCAGATCCCATCTGCAAAGAGGCTGGGACTAAATGTCAGGCATTTACTACTACAAAACCTTCCCCCCACCTGCCTAATGGCAGCACTGGAGGGCTGCTGTACAATGAGCAAGGAGATTCATTGCCCCCAGTGAAAGCAAAAGTCAGAATTTGCTCTCTGCAGGTATTTTCTGTGGTTTTGTAGGTCATCTGATATTCTCACCTATCACTACCAGGAAATGAGGGCCAAATTAGTTGATGTATATGCTAGATGTGTATTAGAATACAAAACATTTGACAATAACAATCTGCCCCTACCATTCATTGTTATATTTTCCTTGCCAGAGGAAGAGAGAAAGTGTTTTTTTATTATTTGGGAGAATTACATGATTACTACAGTGGACTGCTGTCTGATATAAATAATTTTTTTCCATAATAGCTCTGCTCCAGTAGCAGACACATGAAGTACGAGACCATGGGTATTTAAATAGCCAAGAAGAAACCAAAGGAGATCTGATACTTAGGGTTAAGAACTGACAGTCAGAAATTCTTCACTGGAAACATGTGAGGTTTGTTGTGCTAGGTTCAGTGCTGAGGTACTGTTCAGGCTGTTTAAATACATACTTAAAGGTGGTAACAGTAAATGTAATTACAAAACAGAATTTAAAGGGGGACTATATTAATTAAATCCATCAAAGCATTGTCTATCAGTAATTATTAGAGTAATAATAAATATTTAAGTGATTGAATAATAATTGAATCATAAATTAATAAATGACTATGTGATTAATGGCATCCAGGAAAAAAAATCTGAGAAATAAGAAAATCAGTTCATTCAGTCAGGAACACTTTCCTTGAAACACCTCTGCCTTTGAATATTTTGAGGACAAACCCATCAGAAATTGTGTTAAACACAGCTCTGCATCAAAAGAACACTGTAATCAAATAGTGCTGCCTAATGCCCATCAAGGTGACGCTGGGGATGCACCCAGTTTCGCAAGTGAAGCAAGGCTATGTTGAGCTCTCTTGGCTCTGGTCAAAGAAGAGAGTGAAACAAGTCCTGCTGGAAAGGTAAAAATAAGCAAGAAAGGGTCTTGGGAAAAAAAGCTTTCAAATGCTTCAGCTGACAATCTCACTGGCTTTGCCTCTTGGGCTTCCTACTCTCTGATCAGTCTGGAAACCCTTAAATCTTGGCAGTGCAAAAGCCCCTAAATAGCCTCGATCAATAAAGATCAAGGGAGAAAATGTGATAGTATCTAATGGATTTACAGCTGAAACTTCCAAAGCAAAGAAAGCCAAGAGTTATAGCATCTTGAACCACATTAATCTGAAAGTACAAGCTTGCAAGATAAAAGTTTGAGAGTGAAGCCTCCTAATAAGCAGGGTACTACATGCTATTAAGAAGTGGCCTTTTTCTATAACCAACTTTTAAAATGAATTTTATTTTTTGAGGAAAACAAAGATGTAGAATTCAGTTAGTGAAACATAAGAAAAAAATTATCTGAGACCTCGGGCAACAGACTGGAATATTCAGATATCCTGGGGAACACTGAGTGGCTTAACATTCAGTGAACTGAGCTCCTGGATTCTAGTGTAGACAGAAAGCATGGGCTAGAGAATATTTTGTAATTTTATACTGTAGATGAAGCCTACTATTGTGAAAAAGGGCAATAAATGTTAAAAATAAAATATTGATACTCTAGAGGGGTTTTATGACAGAAGCAATAAAATGTACAGATAGTACACGAACAGGCTGAGAGGTCAATGGGGAAAGCACAGTCACACAGAGAAACCGTGCAAGGCAAAGGTATTTTCTTGGGGGTCGGGTCTTTTTTTTTTTTTTTCTCTAGATAGGATTTAATTCCTGAAAATAAGAAGACAACACTGAGGCCACACCCTCAGAGGGATTCAGCTTCTGAACTGACTGACCAAGCCTCTCGCCTCTAAGCACTGTCTGCCACACAGCTGGAGCAGCTGGGTGCTGCCCGCAGCTTAGGGACACGGCTCCTTCACCACAGGTACCTGCTAACTGATACATGCTGTAATTATGTCTGGAGAGCATTTTGATTAAGCTTTACAGCAATTTCAAGCACATTTTGGAGGCATGCAGGACTTACCGGCAGGAAGCCTTCTGAGTGGAATAAATGAATTCACATTTTCCATGTATACAGTAGCCATTGAAGTTTTCTGAGCAAGGTATGTGGTTTCCAATGTAAATGTCTTCTCTTTGATCACTGGCATCTTGAAAGGAAATATACATAAACAATTATAAATGGCTGCATGATATTCATTAAAAAAATCTCAACCAAGAATAGCATATCCTTAAAAACTTGTAGTGAATAAAGGAGTACAGAATAATAAAGCAAAGGCTTAAGGGTGAAGTTTCAGAGGCACCTACAGAGATTTTCTAGAATGTACTGCACTGAAAAACGATCCTCAAAGACACCTAAATATGCTTCTTATGTCAGGTTTCTCAAAAGGAGAAAAGTATTCATGACACAAACAAGCCAATGCAGGAAGGCAGAAGCTTTGTCAGTGGCACTGGGGCAAAGAGCTAATACACAGAGAGCTCTCTCCCATGCCTAAACAGAGGAAAACAAATCTGAAGGGTTAGAAAGAAGCTGAACCACATTTTATGTTTTCTGTGTAGAAAACAACTCAATAAAGCTTGGATCTGGCTGGTATCCCTGGTTGTTATAGCTGAAAAGATACTATATTAGAAGTCGTCCTCAGAGAAACGCTCCCATGGAGAGGGAACTTCAAACTACTGAAAGAGCTTAACATATCCATTCCTTTGGGAATTGGACTGATTTTAGCTGGGATGGAGTTAACTTTCCTCATAGCAGCCTGTATGGTGCCGATAACACAGCATTGGCTGTTGCTGAAGGATGATTGCACAGCCACCAACTTCTCACTCTGCTTCTCCCCTCAATGAGTAGGCTTGGTGGTGGGCAAGAGCCTGGGAAGAGACAGAGCCAGGACAGCTGACCCTGATGGATAAATGGAATATTCCCTACCATACAACATCATGCTCAGCAATAAAAGCTGAGGTTTTGTGTTTACAAGGTGGGAGCTCTCAGAGACTGGCTGGGCATCTGGTCTGCTGGTGGGACATTGTGACTGGCAGCTTCCACACCACTTGTTTTTCTTCTCTCTTTTTTTTCCCCCCTTCGCTTCTTAAACTGTTGTCATCTTCATCGATGAGCTTTTCTTGTGTTTGCGGTTCTGATTCTCTCCTTCATTCTCTTGGAGGAAAGGTGGGAGTAAGTGGCTGGTGGATGCTTCAGTTGCTGGACGGGCCATCCCAGCACAGGAAGGCAGACCTTTCTGTCCCAACATCATTTATGCTTCTGTCATGTTACTAAAACTATCTAAAGATGCATACATTTTCAACCATTCTTTCCCCAAAACCTTTCTGTTAAGAAAGTCCTAAACGCAGAAGTTGTTGGTATTTCATAATGAACTTCTCTAAAAAGCAGGGAACTAAATATGTGAGTGTAGTTGTGGAATTAGGTTCATTTCCACGGCAATGAACTACAGCATCACAAATACAAGATTATAATGAAAGTGCAAAGCAAAAAGGAGTTGTGAAGAAGAAATCTCTTTTACAACTGCAGATATTCAAAATAACACCAGCAAGAATGAGATATTTATACCAGGGAGGAAAAAAAAAGCCTGTTGGTTCAGGCTAGGCTTCAAAGATATAGAAGGCTTGATACGAGGGATGAACATTGTCTGATATTGACAATATGTCCACTACTTCCCCAGTGGAATATACTGTGTCATGACGTGTCTACGAGGATAAAAATGAGGATGTCTCATCCCAAAACTGTTGCCTTCCTCCTCCCACAAGCAGTTAATTACTGTCAGATTTGGTTCCAACCAAAGGGTAGTAATAAGCTGCGTACAGTTATACTAGTCTGTTCAGATAGCTGCAGCTGTGCCATGTCTGGTTTTAATGTATGGACTAATGCAGAATGTGAGGCCCAGTGAGAGAGGCATCCACTGAAAGGTGGTCAGGTAGCCAAGGCCACTCAGGTCAGAGGCAAAACTTGTACTAAGCAAAGAGATGTTGTTACGTGCAGGAGGTGATTCCTAGTGTAAAGCAGACGTTTACCCACCTCTTGACAGGAAACCATTTTTACTGTGGAAGGTCTGCTAGACTGCTTCAGAGCGTCAAAGTCAAAGATTTAACTGGTGTAGGAGCCTTGAAAGAGTGGCTGGGTATGAGTTCAGATACTTCAGAAGGAAGAGCCATGCACAAAACTCAAGACTCTGATTCTCATCTTGGAACAAAAGAACCAGCAAGCCAGGTGAATCTAGGAAGAGAAATCTTTCTCGTGTAACTTTATGTAGCCACTTGCACTGCAGGAGAAGGAGACTGTCCTGGCTGTGGTTCTAGAGACTAGAAGGTATTATACATTCAAAGTACAGGATTTAACAAGACTAACTCACAGGAATTTAAAGCAAAAGCAAACAGAGGTGTGGATTGTTCTCTTTTCCTGGGAGAAAAAGTTACTCAAAGTACTTAACTTCAGGCTCTCACTATCTAAAAAGACCTGACTACTGCACAAAAAAGTTTCAAAACCATTTTTTTGCATGAGGCATACTCCCTCTGTGCGTATCATTTGCCAAACTTAAGACTGCGCAAGCTATACACATTAATAATAATAATTACATACAATGTTTTTTCCACTAACTAGATTTCAAGGGCAATTTATATGCAATGAATAAAAAGCTGTAACTTCTCCTGAATAGGAACGAAAAGTGGTGTTTCATTATATCACATCATAAGATGTATATTCCATTTGGTGTCTTTTATGCCTTCATAATGTAAGTGAAAATTGGCATTAAATCATTCCAACGGGTGCATCATATGGAGTGAAAATAAGAGAATTTGTGAAAAAGGAAAAATATATGGAACCTTTTATACGGAGGCCCTATATGGTTTCTCAAGAAGAACACAAGGAATGTTGAAAGCCATGGTGGGACTTTACTCTGAGAGGCCACAGGAGTGTATAACAAGTATAATGACAGAAGAAACTAAAGACCAGAGCTAATAGAGAAGATACCAACCCATCACAACAGAACCTGCATTAAGACCAGTGCCAAGAAGAAACAACAGCAAGTTACGGTCCTCAGTGATTCCCTCCTGTGCAGAACAGAAGCATCCATCTGCAGACCTGACTCTCTTCAGGGAATTTTGCTGCCTCCCTGGGGCTCAACTTATGGATGTCACCACAAGACTGAAGAGCTTAGTACAACTCTCAGACTACTATCCATTCCTGTTTTTTTTTATTCCTGCTCTTTCACATGGGTACTAATGATGCAGCAACAAAAAGTCTGAGATGGATCAAAAGAGAACTCAGAGCCCTGGGAAGAATGTGAAAAAACCTAGGGGCACAGGTAGTGTTCTCCTCAATCCTTCCAATAATGGGAGGAGACTTGGGAAGAAACAGGTGAGCCCAGGATTCATGCCTCTGGGACTGATGCTTCCACCAAAATGTTGGGTTTTTAAACCATGGAAGAGCCTTTGAGACACAAGGTATGCTGGGGCCTGACAAGACCTACCTGTCCCAAAGAGGAAAACGCATCTTTGGGTGTGCGCTGGTGGGACTGATCAAGAGGGGCTTAAATTCCTGGGGGAAGGGGATACCAACAGCACTACAGTAGGTAAGCCAAGGGTTGGCACAGCATCACCTGAGGGTAACAGTGCTAGTGGAACATCTGCATTGCTTCTGGGAGCATGGAGGGCTCAGGAGCTTGTCTGAAATACTTGTATACCAGTGCACGCAGTATAAGAAATGAACAGGATGGACAGGAAGCATTGGTCAGCTCTTACTGCTATGATATCACTTGTACTAGCAAGACTTAGTGGAATGAGCCCCATGACTGGCGTGCTGAGATGGAGAGCTACAGGCTCTCCAGGAGGGACAGACAGGGCAGGCAAGGTGGAGGTGTCACATGATACATAAGGGAGACATTTGATTGTGCAACTCCTACAGTTAATGACAATGTGGTTGAGAGCCTCTGGGTGAGAGTTTAGGGGGATGTAAAACAAAGGAGATATTGTAGTGGGTGTCTACTACTGATCACCCAGCTAGGATGTAAGCACTGATGAGTTATTCTACAGGAAATTAGGAGAAATTTCTGTATCTGTAGCCCTTGTCCTTATGGGAGATTTCAACTTCCCAGACATCAGCCGGGAATATCATACTGCAGTGATGAGCAGGTCTTCGAAATTCTTGAGGTTTGTAGGGGGTAATGTCTTGTCACAGGTACTCAGTGAGCCAACTAGGAAAGATGCTCTCCTAGGCTTGCTATTTGCAAATAGAGAAGGACCTGTGGGAGATATGATGGCAGGTGGTTGTCTCGACCACAGTGATCATGAAACGGTTGAGTTTCAAATTTTCAGTGTATTGAGAAAAAAGGACAGCAGGGTTGTTACCCTGGACTTCAGGAAAGCAAAGGTTAAGCTATTCAGGGAGCTATTTAGCAGAGTACTCTGGGAATCTGCTTTTGAAGGCTTAGGAGTCTAAGAGTGCTGGCTGGTTTCTAAGAAGCACTTTTAGATGCACAGGAGCAGGCAATTCCACTGTGTCATAAGTCAAGCAAGCAGGGCAGAAGATCAGCTTGGCTGAACAGGGAATACCTCATGGAGCTCAAGAGGAAAAAGAAATTGCGTTGTGTCTGAAAGCAAGATCAGGCTTTGCAGGAAGAGTACAGAGCTGTGGTTCATATATGCATGGAGAAAGCATGAAAGGCCAAACTCATTTAGAATTGAAACTGGCCAATGTTGTGTCAGCTACCAAGAAGGGCTTTCTTAACTACGTTAATAGCAAGAGGAGGTCTAAAGAAAATGCTGGACTGATACATGTTGAAGATGGTCATCTACTAACAGGGATAAAGAAAAAGCAGAGGTATTCAATGCAGTTTTTTTCTCAGTGTTTAGTAATAGTGATAGGTCTTGGGCTGCCTGGTCCCCTGAGTTGGAGGACCACAAGTGTGGGAAGAGTGACTTCCCATTTCTGGACACTGAAACTGTCAGGGACCAGCTGCATCAGCTGAAAGTTCACAAGTCCATGGGGCCTAATGGGACTCGTCCCAGAGTACTGAAGGAGCTAGCAGATGTTATGGCAGCACCTCTCTTGATCAGCTACCAAAGGGTCTCGAGAGTCTGAGGAAGTCCCTGCTCAATGGAAGCTGACCAATGTTATTTCAATTTACAAGAAGGGCATGAGGCAAGACCCAGGAAACTGTATACAGACTTGTTAACATAACCTCAGAGCCTGGGAAAAATTCTGGAAAATATTTTGCTGTGTGCAATTGACTTGCATTTAAAGAATAATGCACATCAGGCACAGGCAAACCAGGTTCACAAAGGGAAAGTCCTGTTTAACTAATTTGATGTCTTCCTATGATCAGGTCACCCGTCTAGTGGATGTAGTTTTTTCTGAATTTTAGTAAGGCTTTTGATACTGTTTCTCACAGCATCCTTCTGGACATGCTGTCCAGCTATGGGATCAGAAGTGTCATGGTGTACTGGGTGAAGAAGTGGCTGAAGGGCAGAGCTCAAAGGGTTGTAGTGAATGGGGCTACATCTGGCTGGCGACCGGTCACAAGTGCTGCTCCTCAGAGCTCAATTCTAGGGCCAGTTCTGTTCCATATTTTTATCAATTATCTGGATGCAGGAGTTGAGTGCACCATTACCAAGTTTGTTGATGATACTAAATTGGGAGGTGTTGTTGAGTCTCTCATGGGACATGATGCCTTGCAGGGGGATCTAGATAGATTGCAGCATTGGGCTCTGATTAATGGGATGAAATTTAATAAGTCAAAATGCTGGATTCTGCATCTATGATGGAGTAGCACAAGGCACAAGAACAAAGTGGGAGAGGAGAGACTGGAGAGCAGCCCTGCAGAAAGAGATCTTGGGGGGAGGTGGTCAACAGCAGGCTCAGTCTGAGTCAGCTGTGTGTCCAGGCAGCCAAGAGGGAAAAACCCATCCTGGGGTGCATCAAACACAATAGAACCAGGCGGTCAAAAGAAGTGATTATCTCACTGTATTCAGCACTGATGTGGCCTCACCTTACGTACTGTGTGCAGCTCAGCCCCACCACTTAAAAAGGATGTTCAGGTACTTGAATGCATCCAGAGGAGGGCAACAAAGCTGGTGAAAGAGCTGGAAGGCATGCCCTATGAGGAGCAGTGAAGGACTTTCAGTTCATCTAGTTTGAAGAAAAGGAGGCTGAAGGGTGACCTTGTTGCTCTTTACAGATTCCTGAGAAGGGGAAGTGAAGAGGGAGGTGCTGAGCTCTTCTCCCCAAGTTCCAGTGACAGAATACATGGGAATGGTTCAAAGCTACTCCAAGGCAGGTTCAAACTGAACATTAGGAAGGATTTCTTTACTGAGAGGGTGGTCAAACACTGGAACAGGCTTCCTAGAGAGGTGGTTGATGCCATCTGCCTGTCAGTGTTTAAGAGGCATTTGGGCAATGCCCTTAACAACATGCTTTAGCTTTTGGTCAGCCCTGAAGTGGTCAGGGAGCTGCACTAGATGATTGTTGTAGGTCCCTTCCAATTGATTCTATTCTATTCTATTCCATTTGATTCGATTCTATTCTTTGTGAGAGAAGAGGAGGAAAGTTTAACACCTATGTACGCCTGCTCTTTGCCAATAACTTGAGAAGGACAGAGGTGTTTTGTCCTGGCAGCAACACTTAGAGCAAGAGCCATGACATGCAGAAGCATATTTGTTCTGAGAATGCACCCAACACACATGGGCTACTATCATGAAAAATAACTGACCTGAAAGTGAAACCCTGCCTTATTTCATTTATACTATGGTTATTAAAGGTAAGGTAAGGTTCATACAGGTAAAACATCTTCAATCAGTGTGATTCAGTGTATTAATTTACTGTAAACATTTTTTAAAAAGACCTAACAAATACAGAATCTGCCTTTTCTTTTTTTTTTTTTTCCAGAAGTTAGCAGAACAGATGGGGTCATGGGAGGGAGGCTTGTGTAATTTTATCAGGAATGTCACAGCTTGGTGTCCTCCAGTAAAGTAATTTTCACAGGGCTTGGAGGGAGTCTAATCCTGTGGCTGCTGCATAGGGTGGTAAGCAGCTGGGCATCTTAGAGGAATACAACAGGCAAAACTCAAGAAATCACACACATCTCCTTCTTGCCAGCCTTTCAACAGGCTGTAAGAAAGAAGCTGTTCACAGGTCTGTCTCGGGTATAGAAATCAAAGCTGCAAGGCAGACAAGAAGAGACCTGCAGGCTCCATTTTCTCATCCTGTGAAACCATAACCAAGCAGCACAAAGTCAGCACAGTACCTTTCACCTCTGGCCGATACTGCATGCCATCCTCTTTCTTCCCAACTGCGTTTGTCTCATCTGTTTCTAGATGATAAATACATGCATAGATAGCTATTAGGAAAAGCTTATTTACAGACCATTACGTGTATGTCATTGAGAAGCCAGAATAATATTCAAAGAAGTATTTTAATTGCAGTAGAACTGCAAATTGCAAAAAGTAGAACATTCCCAAATTGTTCCTCCCATACAACTAGGCTGGCAGCACACCTGATCAGTAACCTGATTGTCCAGACCAACTCAGGACATGCCTCAAGCTGTAGGTTTTGATCTAAAAACTTTTCTTTGATATAGACCTAGGTTATTCTAGTGATAGTCTGTTTCAGCTTTGGAATTGTCCAAGTTGCAGATCTAGAAGTAACTAGCAAAGAGATGGTGGAAAGCTGTTATTCCCATGAGAAGGTCCTAACTGCAAGGCCTCAAAACTGAAGTCAAGCACAGGATTAACTACAAGGCAGCACACAGAGGGTTTCAGTGGACCATTCCAACACTGGAGAAGGAAATGGATAAATATTTGTGCAATGCAGGTCCAAGCCAACTCACCTTGGAAGCACACTGTACAGCCCACAGCTGCATGAGGGAACGTTTCCCACACACCAGTATGCCTTTTGCTCTTCTGCTTCTTAACACTCTGTCATGTAAGACCCACTGGACTACTGCTTAGGCTCTCCCAAGAGCTTTTACTGTCTTTGCAGGTAACAACAGCCAAAGAAAGGTAATGTAAACAACAGCACGTATATATGTAATGTAAATATATTCCTGCATGGGAAACTCAAAAATACAGGTGAGGAGTTCACTGATAACTAGATCAGTGACTTCTGATCAAAAATGGAAAAGAGAAAGCTCTACCAAATCCTCTTATTTCAGAATTTACAGTTACCAGAAAAACAAAATTAAGCCTACCTGAGCAGTGTCCAAGATGTCTGATGTCAATCTGCTCTTGCCTCAGACATGATGCTTCTCTAACAAAGCATGGATTGTTATAGGAACTTCCATCAGAAGCACATACAGGGTTAAAACTGTATCCACTGCAGTCTATATTACATACACACCTGTTAATTCAAACATACAGCAAAACAAAATTGACATCCAGAAAGAAAAAATTATGTTGAGTCCTGAGTAAGCACTAGCTCAATACAATAATACCAGTAGAGAAGAGCTGGAGGATGCTGAAGAATTCATGACATCTTGGGCTTACAAGCAGAATGTACAAAATTATGAATAGGTGCTTCAGTGTGCTTTTTAACAATGTATTGATGTTTCTTGTAGTTTTACTATGATATCAATTGCTAGGAAGACTTACTATATTAATATAACAGTTCATGATGCCTCTTCTCAAGTTTGAAAAAAACTAGATGAATATTCTACTTTTTTGGGGGGATGTCAGGATCCCTGAGAGGGAAACAAAAAGAATTTGAGTTTTTCTATTTCAAAGGCTGTACAGAAACAATATATTTGGTTACCTGTGTCATTTCAGCAAGACATTCAGTCATACCTTTGAAAGTGAACAGTGGGTTTTTTACAGAATCATAGAACTCTTGAGGTTAGAAAAGACCTTTAAGATCATAAAGTCTAACCATTGATCTAACTCTACCAAGTCCACTGCTAGCCCATGTCCCTTATGTTGTATTTAAAACAGGATTATGTGATCTAAACTATTTCGTATTGCATCCAGTTGACACTTTGCTTGTTTTAGACACTGCATTTTCCATAGAATTTGCAACTAGGGATTGTAAAACAGAAGTGGGAAAAATGAAGACCTAGCATGTAGCTGGTTCCTAACCACACAAATGTAAGACAGCCAATGACTTTCCTGGTTTTGGTTTGATAGCTTTGTTGCCCAAACAAAAAGTTTTTTAGGCGCGAATGGCACAGGAAAACCTTCCAGCTTTCCAAGCCTTCCCCCTCCCCCATTTAATTTAATCAATATTCTGCTTTTTAACTGGACCTCTGTTTTTTGAATTAAAAGCTTCTGCATCTGTTTTACTTTGCTCTGCAAACTCCATTCTAGAAGCCTCTGGACTGGGCAAAGTACGGAGTGCGGCTGCAGGACAAGGTATGAGGTGGGTACTAAGGTCCAGCTCTCAGTCAAGCTCCTCCTGATACCTGAGAGCAGGAAGAGCTGCTCTGCATCTTCTGAAGAGGTGGTGGTGGGCACATGGTCCTCTTCTTGCTAGAAAGCTCTACACAGGCCATAGCCTGACTGCTAGGAGCTGCTGCCAGCTTCATCTTGATTCACTCTTGTAAAAAAAGGGTTAGGGAAAAAAACCAAGCTATCAACTTGCCAGGTTTTTTATGTCCTCTCCAGCTGTTGCAGATACAATTAAATAGATGCATGTGTGCCACAATGCAGGAACAAATCTTGCAGCAGAACCCAATTTGACACTGCAGAAACACCGAAGACAGCCAGTGTATTGGTTTCTCTCCCTCTTTTTTCCACAAGCATTTTTTGTTGCCTAAATTTAAAAATGCTGATTTTCCCAGCAGTATTTCATGCCTGTGAACTTCAAACTGTTACTAGACAAAAGAACACTTCTAGTGCAAAAAGGTTTTTAAGTACACCTACCAACAGTGAAAAACTGCTCTACACACCTTATGAACCTACCTCAAAGTACTCATGAAGCTGCTAAATATCAATGTGATCAACATATGAGAATTCTTCTGACTAGAAATGGTAATAGTTGTAAACCTTAGATCCAGGAAAGGAAGTACTATCTTGTTTACATGCTCCCACATAATTTTTAGCTTAATAAGCCTAATGAGGGTTTATCAGGATTTACTATAGGCAAATAAAAGGCTCATTGACACAAAGGAGTGGAGAGCTAGTTCTAATTTGTATGACACTGGCTATGTGCTTACAGATACCTTTGCTCAGCCTTAGCGTTCAGGAACCACCACTGCCTGCATGCACCTTGCCACATTTGAGCATATTTATTTGTATATGGATCTCCAGACCAGTTCCATCTGCATCACTATGTCCAAAGCTCTACGTACATCTGTAGGCACCATCCAAGGTCCACAGCAACATAATTACTGTTGTGTTGTTGTCATTCCTGGTGACAAATAAAATGAGTGTTGAAAATATTTTCTTCCTCATGGTGACATGACAGGCTAGAGTTGAAACTGCTTGGAAACTGCTTATGTTTTCATGTTTCACTGTGTTTAGGCTAAGCACCTAATGCTAAGTGCTTACTTTCTTAGCACTCTCAAATGCTCGTATTTGGGCTAGTTGTGGATTCCTGACCCTGTTTTTCTGATAAACACTCTTAATCTTAGCTCTAACCATCTTTTCAATGTGCAATTTATCTCTATCATTTAATAGTTACATCTAAAAGTGTGGAAAACAAAACAAAACTGCAAGAGCAGAGCTTGTGGCCCATCCACCAGTGCCGTGGCAGTGTGAAGCAGCTGAAGCCCACTGACCAGCTGCAACAGGATTGCAGCTGCCTTGTGTCACCGCAGCAGGACCGGGCGGGTGACTGCAGGGGTGGGAGCGAGTGGAATGCCAGCCTGCTGTCAGCCTGGACGTGGGGTTTGCTGGAGGCTTGCATGCACTCCAAACCCCCAGTGGGACCCCGCTGGCATAACAGAGCCCAACCAGACACATGTGCTTTCTGCCCAAGCAGAGGGCTGCAGGCACACCAGATCTCCAGCGAGGACCCCACCAGCCATGCAGAGCCAGCCAGCTGGTGGGACACGTGCCTGCTGCCCAGCCACTGCCCATGCCTTTTGGGACACCTCTCCAGAGCCCAGACCTTCAGCTTCCCAGTCCAAGCAGTCTATCTGCAGAAGTGCAGTACCTGATTAGCTTCCCAGCTGATGACTGCATCTCTATTAACTGGAGGATTCAGGACATGACACTTTTCTTTAGCCTGAGAATTACCCAAAATTTACAACCAGTCTATGCTGGTTGCAGCTTGGGAGTTCAAAAGTTCACTTTCAGAAGTTCACCCCTCTCCATGACTCCATTTATCTGCATGATGCCATTAGCTGCTACTTGGCCCATGACCATGATGTCAAATGGTACATCTGGCCTTCACCTGGCCATTCAGTTACTGGTGTAGGTGCTTTGACACAGCTGTCTGGTATGTAAAAGCAGGTGGTTTAAGTATACAGCAGGATAATGAACAGTTGAACTGGACTGATGTACTCTAAAAAACTGAAAATATTATGCTTCATTATTCCAACATAAAAGCCTGAAGCCCATCACAAGCCTGAAAGGAAACAAGCTGAGGTGAGGACGTGGCTGGGGTGTGATGCTCTGAAGGGAGCAAGACCTCTGTGGAGGCAGTAAAGTGGCAGAGGGAGCCAGGAACACACAGAAACCTGTACCCATCAGAGAGTCCATGTGGGGGTCACTGAAGTTGTCCTTGCTCATAGCTGGCTGGCACGAGACTCAAAATACAGCCAGGCCTGCAGGAAGTGCCAGACTATGAGACCAGAGCAATGAAATGTGGGCAGTGCCTCTCTCAACAGACAACATGAAATGGAAACAGTTTTTAACTGCTCAGTGTTTGTGGAGGAAGGCAAAACCATGGGAGAGCAACTTGCTTCTCTGATGCAGCACATCAAACACATTGAAAGTAGCAGCTGAGTCCCTGCAAGACAACAGGACCACTACCACAGACTGGAACAAAAAAGCACCTCAGGAAAGTATTGGATGACCCCCAAACAAACCTGGTATGAAATATGAAAATACGTTACACTCTGAAGTAAGAGAGCTACCGAGGGCAAACAATAACTTGATTCTGAGGAGATGACAGAAAATGCCATTTCCTGAGGGGAAAGAACTCCCCACACTAGTCAGTTTGAGTCCTAAAGCCAGGCAGAAGTCAGAGCCCAATAGACTATGAAGCACAGCCCAGGGGGCTGAACCATCCTATGGAGCCTACTAGCAGCACATGAAGTATGGGAGAAGATGCAGCTAAAAGTGGGGCCTTAAAGGGCAGAAATCTTATCAGGGGCTTTTGCAGGCAGAAGAACCCATGTGAGGGACCATGGACTGTGGGATTTGTTTTTCTTCACAGTTTAAGACTGAAACTGGACACAGAATTGAAGCCCCATATTGTAACCTGTTCCCTGGCAATTCCTTCTTATGTTATTGAGACAGGACGAAGACAGCAGAGGACAACAAAGACAGCTGCTCAAAAAGGGAAGGCAGGAAAAACCTGAGACCATGAGGGGCGACTGGGGATATGTGGGAGTGGCACAAGAGGGGCACCCAAGGAGGACAGAGAGTAGACCCTAACTGTAAAATTCCTAATATCCCACCTTTTAAGCATTTATTCTCACTTCTGCCTTAGCTCCCACCACCACTGCACCCATGTACAGTGGTCAGTGAGAGCAGTACCACACACAGGTCCCTAAGGTCGGCCATGCAGCTACAGACACTTTCCTGCATAAGCTGGGCTGAATGAACAGCAGCCCTGCTGTGAGGCTACCAGCCTGCTATGGGCACTAGCCTGAAAACTTGCCTGCAGGGGAAAAAGGATGCAAAGGTTTTGATCCTATTTCTGAACTCACATATCCAGCATAAAATATTAGACCATACCATTAGAGCTGTAATATAATATTATGCAACAGAAGGATAAACCAGGAAGCATGGGAAAGGTTTAGGGAAGTTTTAGTATCAGGAAGATTTAGGTTTAGGATCTTAATCCATATAAAAAAGGTATTTTGAACAGAATTTTCCACCATACTTCTACAAACATTAAAGAAGTATTAAAACACTATACTCTTTGTTGAGACATCACAGCTTTGACTCTAGCTTTAAATATTTTTAACAGTGATTTTTAAATTACATTTTTTTTTTTATTCCTTACAGAAAAGAACAGAAGCAAGATGGATTTTCATCCCTAATTACAAGTAGAAATTAAAATGAGGTGTACTGCAAGCAAGAGCTTTCTGGTATAACCAGGTAGGTTACACACTTAAATTACAGTGTACCAAAATGGCTAGTTTGCTATTAAAAAAAACTTTAAAAAAACAGAACCTATTATACAACAACATTTGTAATAATAGGAAACTACTCATATATGGACACTTAATTTCT